GCACATCGTTGTTGTTGGGGAATCCCCAACAGGGGGTCGTATTTGGCCGCCAGGGGGTCGTATTTGGGCTGAGAAAAATTTATTTTGATAGTTGATTTTTCTCGCTTCACGGACGTTGTAAAGGGAGGGGGTCGTACTTGGTCATTGTTGGGGGGGGACGTATCGTACCAACCTCCCAAAAAAAGAGTAGGGTTCGTACGTACTCGACTAAAATCCCCAACCAATGATGTGCCCTTAGCTGCAGCAGGCTGCCACAACAACCCACTAAAAAATAGATAAAAATATAGAAGACGAGCATTTCGGCGTCGCTTTCCTTTTTTGGAATGGAGGCCCCGGGCACGAGCGAAGAGATCCGAGATTTGATTTTTGGAGAATCCCATGAGGGGTCGCTGGAGAAGTGAGTCCTATTCCCCCTCGTCGTGTTCGTCTCTCACCTTAACTGCGGGCACCATGAACTCCCATACAACTTCTACTTCTGATAGCTGAAATTAGTGGCTGCTTCGTGATGTCGTTTCCTCCCGCCCCCTCGCTCGACCGTGAGGGGAAAAACTGGAAAAATTCCTGGAATGCTGGGAAAAGGGTAGGAAGCAGCGAAAACAGTGACGATGGTTGATAAGATAGAGATGGAGACAAATGAGGAACTTTTGAGAGAGGGAGCGGGAGAGGAGGTGGTGTTCGTACTGATCCGCTCCACTGCCCTCCGTAGCTGGTTGGATAGTTTTTTCAAATTATGTGCCCTCTAAGTGAATTGTCGTCTGAAACTGCATCCTCCAGACAGTTAGTTCTAACTGCTCCACTTGCAGAAAAAATGAGATGGGCGAAAAAGTGGGCGGATACACCTTGCCGGTCTATCATATCCTATAATAATTGCTCCCTACACAGTAAAAGAGGAAGACACATCCACGTCTCCGCCCACTCGCGGTAATAGCGGAATGAATTTTCAAGCGTGAAGTTTATCGCCAACATAGTACCTGTACATCGGTACTGTTGGCTCTGTTGACCTGCGCCCACTCTGCGTCATCAGCACTAGAATATGTGTCGATTCGTGAGCTGAATTCCAACACAGACGCGACCGGCTCTCTCTCTTTCTGGCTCACTACGTGCCCGCGCGTGCTCCTGTCGACGGGGGGCATTTTGTACTATCACTGCTTCCCTAGTTCCGGTTTACAAATCTCACTCTGGTAAAACTTGTGAACACTTGTGAAGCTGGAGCAAGATCGTCTAGCCACCATCCCAAAGTGTCAACTCGAGAAAAGGCTTCTAGATGGGTCGACTCATCTATGAAATGCAAAATGCCCCCCCCCCCCCCGTCGACAAACTGCGCCGTTAACTGGTATTAGACAAGGGAGCTAGTGTATGAGATTGATCCCTTCTCTGCTCGGCTGCGTTGTCACCTGCTCCAGTCAAACCATATCAACGACACTTACACCTCTGTGGATCCCTCTATGGATGCGTGAAAGGCGTCCAAATGCTGTTTACCGTGCTTACTTTCTCCGCGCAAAAGTCACGCGCGTGGCAGAAGCCGATGGTGAAATGATACAAGGCTGGTTTCCTGTTCTGGTTAAGCGCTGCGCATCGGCCGGCTCGCCACACGCGCCTAATGTGGTTGTTCTTGACTTCTTTCTGTTTGTTCGCTGCGTGCTTCGCAAAAGGTCCTTGGGTTGCACAAGTCCTTCAGGATGGAGTAGGCGGAGTTGGGAGACCCGGTTTACGTTACCATCCAGCCCCGTTCCCGTTCACTTCAACGAATAAAGTGACACGCGCCTGCAACAGCTGCGGGCTCCCCACTCCACTCGCGCTATGGCCTAAGCGACCGTCCTCGTAGCTGAAATACAGTTTGTCTTCTTCGCGTGGCCTGAGATTATGCTATCGCAGGAAGCTGGCGCAAGGCAACTGGAGTGACGGTGACACTGGTAGTGAGTGCTCACCACGTGAGGGTCCACCCCCTTCCTCTACTCTCGTCCAAGTTCCCGTTCCCGTTTTCGCTTTGATTTGGCTATAATAAAATATGTACATACTTCTTTGTCCGCTGTCAATACGCTACACACCTTCAGCATGCGGGCATTATGAAAGTGTAATCTGATAAGCAGAAAGGTGGGTGTGGTTCCGCCTCGTTATCGACTACCCCTCCCCTCTTAAGGCTCCATAAGTATGGGTGAGGATAAAGTGCTAACTCAAATATCAATTTAATATGGCATCTAATTCGCGCAGAAGGATCGAATATGAAGTACAAAAATCTGGAACTGTGTAGAGCAGTGATACTGAAATACCACCACAAATGCACCGTGGTAATGTAGATCCTGATCCAGGAATGTTTTGACTGCTGATGGTGCTTTGGCCTGCTGAAACGATCGTTCAGTTTTGTGCCGTAGCAGCGAAAACAAACAGTTAGTGGCCCTCTCTATTTCAAGAGCTATTTTCGATGAAAGTCGGCGCTCGAGCTTTTCCCGACTTTGGTGGCTGATACCCTTTGCTAAAGGGAAAGATTAATTTTTGTTGCATGTTGCGGTCTGCGAAACTTCCAACCTTGAGCCTACAGCCGGTAGGATAGTCGCGTCTGGGAGGTACCTGACATAGCGGGGGTCGTATGTATGCGTATGAAAAGCTCTATAGTGAATCTCAAACGAGATGGAGGTGAGTCCCCTTCCCCAACCTTGACCTTATAGGGTTAACATGCTGCCAGCAAACTGAGGAAAGGGAAATCTGCGAGCGTGGTTTACTTTGAACTCAAGAGTTGCTTTGTGTCGGCGGTGGGTTCTGCTTTGGAGAGGGGTCCTGTGTTGAACGATACATTCCCTATGGACCTCTTTGTAACGACGTTACATTTGCCCTTGAACGTATTTCCGGGGAGGCGTGAACGGTACATTCCCTATGGACGCTCTTTCTATCTCCCTGTGGTTTCCATTTCAGTGCGTGCTATCATAATCCCACTGTTCCCGGAAAATGGTGTAGACCAAGAAGCACTGGCCACCAAAAGGGTACTCCTCTCAGCCTCTTGAAACGGATCGCGCGGCGACGTCCCGTTCGAAATGTGTCAGGCGTTCGGTCAAAGAATTGTAGAGCCATTTGAATTGCATAAGCGCTACTCAGTGCTTTAAAGAGCCATGGTTTGTTAGAAGGTATTGTTCTGGACATGCAGATTCCAGCAGGTAACCTCTGAGGGCTTGAGGGCTTGCAGGTTTGGTGAGGACTTGACCGTGCAGATGACGCACACGCTAGGCAGCGCCTCTTGCCATTGCACTATCTTCAACCATTCATTCAGGAAACGGTCAGCTCGCTCCTGAACAAGGCTCTCTTGAAAACGAACCGAAAGTAAAGAATTGTTTCGGAAACACCTTCAGTAGATTTAGTGGCTGAAAGGGAGTCTTTCCCGATCTGAAAGCGCGGATTCTCTAGATCCTTTCGCAGCTCGCGCCGTTGCCCTTGACATATCGTCCTTTCCCCCAATTCCGGTATCATCCTGTATCAGTTGTTCATTCCAAAGTGTTCTCGGGTTGCGATTTAGCGACGGAACGTTGCCTGTTCTTGAAATACAGCTTGGCCACGGTTCGGCGCGTTTTTCGGGTATTGGGTATGGCCTTGAGAGGGTGTGCGACGTGAGCGTAAAAACGAGATAGTATTGCATAAGAGTCGCACCATAGCGCCGAGTTAACGTAGACGTTGTGGAGGAGTCAGATCTGACTGGAGCGAGGCGTATATCATTCTGAGGAGGACGACGACACAACGAGAACGAAGGTGGCCGGTGCTTCCTGGCACAACGAATATCTTTCGGCGGTACCGTCACCAACATCACTACACACACACATACTGAGTTCCTAAAATTGGCAGCGGCATCGCTTTCGTCGCCTCGGCATTGCTACCGTCACCGACCCCAACCACTGTCGCTGATCGTCGCGAACTTCGCACCTCGTAAGGACTTCCGTGAAACGTTGCCATGATTCCTAAATCCACTCGATCTCCTGGTTCGGTTCTACGCGAACGGACTCGTCTGATACTTGACTGGGACAAGGTAAGAGCTCTTTGGAACGGTAAGGTCTCTGATAACCCCCTATGGGTTAACGCACTTAACCAGATCCTTTTCAGCCCTCTACTCGCCATCACCCCTACCGTATGCGCCGTCTCAGCTGCGGATCCACCTGCTCCTCGGATAGTTCTCAGCCGAGTCCCAGCTCTGTAAGGTGAGATAAAGCCATAGTTCTATGTGACCGATCAGCTCAAGAAGCCCTGATTTCAGTTCGTTGCCTGACTCTCCTCATCCGGCTATGCGAACCGTTCGAGACATTCAAGTTTTCGAAAAACTTCGCCGATTCGTGCCCACTATTAGCTCTGAGCGCAATGCTTT